AAGCCGGAAGCTCATTGATCGAGAGAAGAGGAAAAAAGGCTTTTGACGTGCATCTTGTGCCGATGATATCTCTAATAACGGTCCTTTTCAGGGCCATCAATATTTTACAAAAAGAATATACCTTTGTTGTACATACGAGAATTCTAAGACACAAATTACATGTATTTTTGAACGTCAACTTGTGTTTGTTACTGACTCAAGTAATGGTAAGTGCTTTTACAATGATTCAAAATGCCCTTCCACTGTTAGTTCGGTATAATAAAACAATTGTGGCCCCTTAGAAGCGATGAATATCCAAAATTGTCAACCCTTAAAAGTTATTTCACTTCGGGCTGCGCCCTCAGAGAAATAACCTTCTCGTGTTGACAATTTTGGATATTCACCTTTTCAACGGGCCATAATTGTATAATGTCACCTTACCCGGACACATTATTCCGACTCCGATCCGACCAGTCTTTGCTCTTACTCCTTAATGCCGCGTGCTTAGCCACAAGCACTAGACGTTCTGTCAATAGTAATAAAATATGGGCAATGGGAAGAAAATAGTGTCGATGTATATAAATGGACAATATTTTCTTCCCATTGCCCATATTTTATTACTATTGACAGAACGTCTAGTGCCTGTGGCTTAGCGGGGAAGCAGCAAATACCAATTTTAATGTCTTTGGTTTGACCCGGCCTGGATTCGAACCCACAACCTCCCGCACTCGAGGTGAACACGCTTCCACGAGACCATTGAGGCGGTTAAAAAATAGGTAACAGAAGAAACTAAGCAAAATGACAACGATAACATAAATTAATTAAGGAATACTAGCAGTTACTAACATGCTAGCTCCAGACCTCAATTAAACTGATTGAAAGATTATGTCTACATCATATGAAAATCAAGCACAATCCCTCCCGTTAGGGGTTTTAGTAACGTACCATCATAAAATATATGAGAAGAACATAACCTGTAGCATGCCAACAACTGGTTTTAGAATAAATATGTATATTTCCGATGCAAAGACCCTATGAGTGAATCAATATTAATTCAAAAAAAGGCCATCTTTAATGACCTGACTACAGTATCGTAACTATATCCCTTCTGAATAAGTCTGTTTAAAGGTTTTGTTAGTTTTTGAGGCGAATGACGACATTTTTGTGCTTTGTATAGAATATTACCATAAATGATTGGATGTGAAATACCTGAACCAGGGACTTTCTATACTAGTAAAGAAAGTCCCTGTTGAGATATATAAACACCATAAGATGGTGACAAGGGAACGTAACCATCTAAAAATGGATAATTAACAATAGGAAATAAAAATCATCTCTTTTATCGTACATTTTGACATTAAGCTATAGATATCAAGATCCAGGAAAGGGCAGGATTCGGTGGAAAAGGGGACGGGATTGTAGTTACGACAATTGGAACATATTCGTTGTCATCTGTGAAACGGATACTCCATTACGGTATCCAACTCATGATGGCGTCCGTAAAATTTACAAAGCAACGATTTCAACTTCACCACTTGGAACTCTTGGTTTTACAGCTTCCTTTAGAGCAGCAACCCTCTTTATCAAGGAAATCATGATAGGAAATACAAGCCCTAGAATATCGTATCAACTAAGAGATATGTACTCCGTATGCAGGCGCTGCTTGAATGTTGCTACATCGAAATGGAAATTTCACAATTGGGAAGCTGAAATCATCTCTTTTGTCGTTAAGTTTTGTTTTCAACCGACCCTTATTATCAATTTCAAGATGTAAGCCAAGATATGAGACGAACTTAACTGTATCTGTTGTATCCTTTATCTCAAGTTCGATGGGATAGATGTGTTCAACATAGTCACCAAATTTTGAATTATTTTGTGAGAGAACATCACCTATATAGCGGAAAGTGAAATTAAGGGATACTGCTAACTTCTTTTCTTTCTTCCTAGGAAGTTCCTGTATGAAGTCATCTTCAGATAAATAAAGGAACAAGTCGGTAAGAAGAGGATCACAGTTGGGAATGCCGATTGTTTGTTGAAAAACACGTCCTCTAAACGTAACAAATATGTTGTCAATTCAGAAATCAAGCATCTTGATTATGTCAGTTTCAGAGAATGTTTTGTTTGAATCAGAGTGATTTTTTTACAAAGTACGATTTATCCCTCCCTAAACATGCCAAAACAAGAAACTTGTATCTACGTAGGCCATTTTATTTTTTTTATGAAACAAAGCAGGACCAACTCTTGGAATTTGTCTTTTAGTTTGGAATGGGGAATACATGTGTAAAGTGTAGAAAAGCCAAATGTTTTAATACTATTGCAAGATGAAAGAGTCTTAGATTGTATGTACTCCAAAAGATCTTTGGAATTTTTTAGTACTCTAGAATAAGTAGTTTCACAATAACTTTGAAGCCCGGCTTTGATTGCTGATAAAATTGAGGTTAATAATTTAGAAAGAGGTTTCATAGAGCACTTGGAAGACCCAGCAATATAACGTTGTTTGTAAGGACACCTTTGTAGTTTAGGTATCCAATACATGCAGTGAAGGAAGATCCAGTTCTTCATCTTTGGTTGAAATTCCAAAGGAACGTAGAACAGACCTTAGATTATCCCGGATTTCCTCCTTGGTAAGTGTCGTAGGAGTATATGTTGAGTTTGCAAGTGAATTATCAATACCTAATTCATTTATCAAGCAGTTTATGTAATGTGTAACCGGTTAAAAGGTAATAGGATGAGATTTGTTTTTTACTAGAAACATTTGTATTTTATTACTTCAAGGCTATTATATATATACTGCTTTGACGTCAGTATGACGATTAGATATATTATCATATTTGATAACATGATATAACAGATTAAGTTAAAACTTTAATAGCTATCAATTTCAAATGCATTTATACTGTGAATATCGTATTTAAATGCATACTTTATAACACTGAAGCAACAAAAACATATGAAGTCTCCTATTTCCGATGAGAAACGTTTCATTTCATAAAATATTTGCTATTTTGATGTGCTAAAATAACTTAAACGGCACGTTTTTTCCTTTCTCAAAGCTCTGTTTTATGAGACGGCTGTATTGGTATAAAGTTCCAAGATCAGAAGGCTATATCGACAGTGCATTCATTAAATATTTCAACAAATAAATCTTGCTTTCTTATGACAAAGCCAAGGACTTATCTATCAGATTCTTTACTAAGTGTATTAAAAATACCATGTGCTTACTCTGAACAATATGAACCCAACAACCCCCTCTCCCCCCAAAAAAAACAAGTGTGAACGGAGTTTTTCCGGGAGTCAGCAGTTCCTGCTCACTAGTGAAACCCGTCCTTTTACTCCTATTAAAATTCTTACACTAGATGAGTATAAGAAGGAACAGATATTCAAGACAGAGAATAGACTAGTGATCAACAAAGACCAAAAAAATAAAATAGCAAAACACACCAAAAAATGAAAACAAAGTTATACAACCACTTTGATGATTGTAAAATGTTAGTTATCTCAAAAAATTCATTCCACCGCAGCTCAGTCATTTTAAAAAGGCGATGTTTACCGAATAAACAGAGAGAAACCTATAATGGTTTACTTTTATAAATTTTGACTTGGATGGAGAGTTGTCTCATTGGCACTCATACCACATCTTCTTATATCTAGAAACCAGTCAGCATACTCCATATATGTTTTTCCATCTTGGCTGTACAAATGTAATATAGGTTGAAGTTATTAGAAATATTTGCATGCTTTATCATTTTTATATATGAACAACAATGGAGATACATTAACTTTCCAACTAAATACGAGATTGAAAAAAAATCATTCACTTTGGCTACAAGTTTATTATACGAAACTTGGTCATGACTTTGGAATCTAATCTGATATCTGTGTTTCGCGATATTTCTGTTTCTTTTTGTGGGGAACTCCCCACATTGTTGTTACCTTGTAATGGAACTAGCTAGGACTCGGTATGACAACGGGACATTAGAAGATAATCCAATCTGCTAACAGTGTTTAGAAAATATATCTAGAAACGGTATGTGTTGTGATAGTCATTATTGCATGATTACTCTTGCTGTGGGGGAATTGTGAATGTATTGCTCTCCTTGAATAGTATATATAGCGATTTAGCCAACTGTAAGCGATTGGGCCAATGTAGTACTTATTTAGCTCAGTCGGTTAGAGCGCTGACTTGTAACATAGAGGTCTCTGGTTCGAGTTCCAGAGGAGACAATGTAATTTTCTTAAAATAATCATGTTATATGGTTGGAGAACAATAGAACAGATCGAATAAAGGGAGACTTATTAAACTTTGTTTCAAAAAGTATATGTTATTACCTTTACGCCTTCTAAGCTGACACATTAATCAGTTATCTGGGAGACATTTTGAGATAAGTATTATAGATACAATGGTTAAGCGTTGATTCTTGAAAAAGAAATCATGAGACCGGAATGCGAATGGTTTGTTTTTATAAACCAACGCTTATCCATTGTGTCTTTAACTTAAACTTTTGTTCTGATATCTTTTCAAAATTAAAGCCTTTTCTCAATCATAAGGTATTGTAAGTGAGTTTAAATAACCATGTTATCATGTTTAACGATGCATTGATAAATCAAAGTTCGCAATTAATCAGTTAGAGACATAATACGTCTGTCTTTAAATTAACGCACGTGTGTTCATTTTTCTATTACTGTATTTGTATTTGCATTAGTAAGTTATTTTCGAAAAAAATAATATTCTAGCCTCTGATCTGTAGAATATATGATTACATGATCTTTCAAAATCGTAGTTATCAATCATTTTTGAGTCATCTCAAAAAGAATCTAAAACTGCACAATTTAAGCTGTGATACTGTGAATTTATGTATTGAAAGTCCTTCAAAAAATAGCCTTTATATATTTAGTGTCCAGTAAGTACAGCGGCAATTAGGTACTATATTTAAAGCAGCTGTCATAAAATTATCTTAACATATAGTTTAAACCAACCATACACGTTTGCATGCCCTAAATATTAATGAAAGAAAAAAATATATGAAAACCCGCTATTATTACAAAAATATCCATAATAACATACACAATAAGAAAAACGGAAAAACTAATGGAAAGGGATAACAAAGAGAAAACAGGGATCTGAACCTAAACCGAAAAATCTATTTCTAACTTGTCGAAATGTCGAAGATTCTTTTTTAAATCCTAAGGGTTGTAGGAACAGCGTGCGTAACGTTAGTGTGAACACCTTTTGCTTCATGGTGATAGTTAAGCTTGTCCATTCCAAGTAATCGTGCATTGATGAAAAACTGGAGACACTAGTTAATGCTTTCTGTGAAATGAATCACATTTTAAAAATAGAACACAAACATAAGAATTCCATGACTGAATGTTTTCCTATGTAAAACGTTTGATAATTTGGCAGAAATTTAGAAATCAATGATCAGTTAATATCTACTGTTTAGTCAAAGATATGATAGGTACACAAATTAAACAACATAAAGAAAATTTCCTTTTTTAAATTATTTTTGAAGATTTGGACTATAAAACAGAACAGTTTATGTTCACGAAGTATGAAGAACAAGCCGTGATACTGAAATCAAAACTTGGCGACAATCAAACTGTGGTCAAGATTGAGAGGAGATAAGTTGAATTAATAAACAATGGGAATATCTATTCGTTTTCAAAAGGTAGAATTCCTCATTTCACTCTTAAATCTGTAGCTGTTTTCTGTAATAAGCAGTAGTGGTGTACGTAAAGGCATCGTATGACATCATTTCGCACAATTTACTGTCGTTGTAGTACAAGAATCCACTACAGCTAAGTTCAACAGCACATTCAATTCCACATTTAACTTTTGAAGGCATTTGTACTGACCGTAGTTCATCAAAAGTATAACAGAACATTTCCTTGTAGACATTTACAGTATATCCATTGCCAGTTGGAACGGGAGCATGAATAAAGGCTGAAAAATAATCGATTGTATAAGCAAGATTTAATTTCACTTTTAATACACTTGGTAACAAATTGAACCGTTATTATTGTTTGTTATTATACCTCAGTTATCATTTTCTATATAAAGTAAGTACACAATATTTTTCACTATTTTTCAAAATTGCAAGCGTTTAACTATTTGACGCGGGAGTTACGACGTCGCGTTTTACCTATTGTATCTAGGGTCGACGTCAGTGCGGGACGTAGTCTTAGCATTCAGAACATATATGAAGTAAACGTTAAACAGTATAGTTGTGTTTCTGCTTTTTATATTACGATAGTTGATTAAGCCCCGACATTTATTGTCTGTTGTCTCTTTCGGTATAATAAAACACTTACTGACGGGATATTCGTGGAATAGTTAGAAGTTGCGCACGGTATTGGTACCACTGAGCGTACACAACGTCCCAATTAAACAAGGATGCTGACGTTGTTTCAAAGAACGTTTCAAGCATACAAGCTTTTTACTTATGTGAAAATGCCACTTAAAGTAACCATAGAATTTACATTCTTTTAAGAAGTCACTTCGATTCATTATGTATTTTCATTTTTCCATGTTGGGGTTGGCATTAATAAATGCAAACATTGATATCCAAATTTCCATAGAATTAAAAAAATATTTTAAACACTCATGAAAAATTGCCCCTAACAGCAATGTTTAGCACTGAATAACAATTTGACGTTTTGAATCATTTGTATGTGAGAAGATTTACCATCTTTTTTGTATATTATTTAGCGTCTTTCATTTTCAAAATCCAGAATGTTTTGAAACTTCAAACTGATTTTGATACAATAAGCGAAACAAATGCAGGGAAAAACTGACACGACCGTTTTTCTCTTATGAAGAGTGTGCTTCCAAAATATTATGTGCATATATATCTGTATTATCAGTTTCTTCTTTTTCTAAAAATTAAGTAATGTTCTTTGTGCCGCAAAACTTCTTCAATCTTGGCTAGTAAAATTGTTAATACTTTGTTTCTTGTTTCTGTTTCTTCCCTTCTATTATTAGTTTCTTTTTGTCACGTTGTTGATGTTGGTATTTTCTCTCCCACAATTTGTCTTTTTAAAATTTAGCTAATATTCAAATGCTTCTTAATTTGATTATTTGAAAGATATTGATAGACGATAGCCTGATATTTTTCTTTTCGTAATCTCATTTTATCTCCACTTTATTCATAAGAGGTCCGTTGTATTCATTTTTAAAAAAAAATAAAAGTCGCTTATACTAGTGTTATAATTCATATTTCATATAATATCGGTTTAACTCGATGAATCATCATCATATGCGTATTAGTTCACGATTTTGACATCAATAACAATTTTGTGGAAATTGTTTAAAATTGGCAATATTTTTTGATAAATCCCTTAGGAAAAACTTTATGGAATATGCATCACGTATGAAATAGAAATACGTGTACTTGTGCTGCCATTGTTGATTTTCAATATTTGAAGGTAGGACGGGGTTTAAATTATTAATTTTTTTATTGCAGAAAACTACAAATAATCGATTTAAAATTTTTTACCATTATTGTTAGCAAGATTGAATGATGAATAAATGAAATTAATTTGTAAAATTTTCATTAAAAAAGAATAAATAATGAGCTTATCTTATGGTTACATCTTTTTCATTTAAAAAAAAAGGTTTCATTGATTGAAATTTTTAAATCATGGTTGTTTTATCAGGTAAATAATCCAGAATGTTTATAATTTGTTTTATAAAGGAATTTACAAAACATTTTCCTATTTTGTGATTGTTATGTATTACTAACTATAACATTATTGAGAGTAGAAGGCATCTGTTCAGATTAGCATTTTATTCTACACTAAAATAATCAAGCAAGTTAACATATTATATATCGCGACAATTGATACAACTGTGGTAGGTAACAGTCTAGGCGGTGCCATATGGTTTTCATCACTTTGAGGTTACAGTTAATTTGATAACAATTCATAATAACTTTAATAGTTTATATTGACAGTTTCAATTATACATAACATTTCCTCCCTTCTAATTTTCGAATTCCATAGTAAAATTATAGTATGTGAATGATAAGGTCATTGATAAAAATCAGCACGTGTGAAAAGAATGAATGAAAGAAATTAATTACTGTCTATGTGTATATAAAAACTTTAACTATGAGAAACACTAATATCATGCATTCAAAATATTTATCCCTACAGTGATTACAATAGAAAAACTTTCGTTTTCTCGCGCACACAATCACGCCTAACATAGGTTGCAAAGGGAGTTATTATTACCCTTACGGCACTACAACCAATTTTACAAATTTAACTTAGTAACCGGCTTTCTGGTTCTCAAAGGATTTCTTCTCTGAATTGGTTCTGACAAAGGTAGTTCGCTGTCTTGTTGTATCAGTTGTAGATCGTGTGGTTGCTCAGTTGGTTCATCCGGAATTATCTCTAGTTCAGCCGATTTGTCATTTATAACTTCTTCTCCCTGTTTATCGTGAAAGTCTGAGTTTCGTATCTGGTCGGCATGACGTTTCCAGATACTGTTGGGCGAAACTTCTACCTGATAATTTAGCGATCCTTCACGTTTGGTTACAAGTCCACTTGTCCATTTATTTGGTCCACGGTAATCACGTACGGCTACTGTTTCTCCCTCGGTAAATTGTCGTAAAGTCTCTTTTGTCGGTTTAATTGCAATTTTCATCTGCTTGTCTTGAACTTGTCTATTAATATCTGGTTTAAGTAAGTCAAGTCTGTTGCGTAAATGTCTACCCATAAATAACTTAGAAGGTGTTTCTTTCGTTGTCGTATGGGGAGTGTTGCGATATGCCAGTAGAAAATTTGCTAATTTCTTATTCATATCTGAATTTTCCCCTCGCATGGCCTTTAAGCTCTGTTTGAAAGTCTGAACAAAACGTTCCGCGAGTCCGTTTGTTGCAGGATGGTAAGGTGCACTCTTGATATGGGTAATTCCATTCATTTTAGTAAATGTTTGAAATTCTGCTGACACGAATTGTGGTCCGTTGTCGCTAACTATCTGCTCCGGCAATCCTGTTCTCGCAAATATAGTTCTTAACACTCTGATTGTCTGTGTTGAAGTGGTACTTTTCATCGGTATAACTTCAGGCCATTTAGAATGAGCATCAATGACAATCAAGAACATATGATCAATAAATGGTCCGGCGAAGTCAATATGTATACGTTTCCACGGACTTGACGGCCACTCCCATGGGTGAAGTGGTGACTGTTTCGGGTTACGATGGTGTTTTTGACATCCGGAACAACTTTTTGCTAGTGATTCTATCTCAGAATCAATACGTGGCCACCATACGTAGCTCCTTGCCAATAATTTCATTTTCACTACTCCTGGATGCGCAGAATGTAACAGTTCTAAAGTTTGCTGTCTAAATTTTGTCGGAACAATAGTACGTATTCCCCACTGTAAACAACCTTGACTGGTAGAAAGTTCGTTTTTCCGGTTGAAATACGGTTTCAAGTCAATATCATCATTGACGGTCCAACCTTTTTGTACAAATTCATAGACTCTTGATAAGATCTTGTCACGCGCAGTTTCTCGTCTAATGTTGTTGTTTGTTAAGCTTAACTGTTCTAGTTGCTTTAACATGAAAACGTCAACTGCATCAAATTCCTCACCATCTGATTCTGTAGATTCCTGTGGTATTCTCGATAGCGCATCTGCGTTTGTGTGTTTGTTAGTGTTTTTGTACTCGATGTCATATGTATATCCACTTAAAAACAACGCATATCTCTGTAAACGTGCTGCTGAAGTGGTAGAAATTCCCCTTTTCGGATTGAATATTGACACAAGCGGCATATGGTCTGTTATCAGTGTAAATTTACGACCATACAGATAAGTATGAAACTTTTTAACGCCGAAAATTATACCTAGAGCTTCTTTGTCGATTTGACTGTAGTTTCGATCTGCTTTATTAAGTGATCTTGACGCAAAAGCAATAGGGCGCTCCGTTCCATCTTGCATTTTATGTGACAAAACTACCCCTAATCCAAATGGAGAAGCGTCACAAGCTAATCGAATAGGTAGTTCTGGGTCATAATGACATAGAACCTGCTCAGATGTTACCAAATCTTTGGCCCTCTTGAATGATACCTTACATTCTTCATTCCAATCCCATTTGACATCTTTTTCTAACAGTCTGTGTAATGGGCGCAAAACAGATGAGATATTTGGTAGGAATTTATGGTAGTAATTCATTAATCCGAGGATTGAACGTACCTGAGTAACATTTTGTGGTTCTGGTGTGTCCAAAATCGCTTTGATTTTATCCTCTGTTTTGTGTAATCCATGCTTATCTATTTTATGTCCACAAAACTCGATTTCATCTTTGAAAAACTTGCACTTGTCCTTATTAACTGAAAGGTTGTACATCTCTAATCGCTTCAAAACTTTGTCAATGTTCACTAAATGTTCTCGGTCATTTTTACCGGTTATAACCATATCATCTAATATGATTGTACTCCTGTCAACCCTTGGAGTATTTGGTCAATGGTTCTCTGCCAGATTGCAGGTGCGGACGCTACACCGAATAACATTCGGTTGTACTGATAAAGTCCTCTATGCGTATTGATAGTCAAGTACTTCTTGGATTCCTCATCCATCTCGAGCTGTAAATATGCCTGTCTTAAATATATTTTCGAAAATTTTTCACCTCCAGATAACGAAGCAAAAATATCGTCAATTCTAGGTAAAGGATATTGATCAACTTGAAGCTGCTGATTAATTGTGACCTTAAAATCGCCACAAATTATCACGCCTCCTGACTTCTTCACGACAGGCACAATAGGCGTTGCCCATTCACTAGTTGGCACTTTTGTAATAATACCTTCCTCTTCAAGACGGTCGAGCTCCTGTTCAACTTTCGGTCTTAGTGCATACGGTATCGGTCGCGCCTTCATGAACACAGGTTTAACATTATCTTTCATAATTAAATTTCCTTTAATTCCATTCACACAACCGATGTT